AGTTTTTTACGCTAATTTTTCTACGACTACAAATTAGCAGCAGACCCACTCAGTTTTTGCCAGTTTTGTGAAATAATTTGCGATGTAATGATGACACTTTTCTGAAGGCTGGGTTACGAAAAAAATTTTTTTTTCTACGACTAGCCTAGAAAATACAGTTTGACACACGGAAAACTCGATCTGAAATTGGCGTTTTGCAAACTGTTGTGTGCTAAGGATTTACCGCACGACATGTGTTATTTTGCACACGACATGTGCCAATTTTAACATTTTTAACCTCCAATGTTTAGCTGAAACGCCAAACGCAACGCAGGCATCAGAAAAGTGTCATCATCACATCGCAAATTATTACACAAAACTGGCAAAAACTGAGGGAGTGTGCTGCTAATTTGTAGTCGTAGAAAAAATAGCGTAAAAAACTCGTTCGAAAACTTCTTTGTACACTCGTTCGACTTGTTCACAACAAACTGTCGAACTAGTATGCAAAACGTCGTTTTCGAAACTCGTTGTTTAATATACTATTTTTCTACGATCGGACAAAAAGTAGCTATTTTTACACTATCTACTGTTTTAAAAGTCAAATTGTTGACACAAGTGCAAAAAACACCTTGATTATTAAAATAAAACGACTTTGACTAAAGAGAAAAAATTTGTAAATTTTTGTAAAAATTTCTTAAATCCTGGAAGATAAACCAAATAACAGTACTGGGCACCTCCCAGTAACGTTCCAGAAAAGAGTTTTCAGTGAAGAACAAGAACCCGAGACCTTCACGAGCAGAAATGAAAATAAAATTCAAACGACTACTGGAAATGAAGTTTGTCCATCAATTACCTTAATAAATTTTTCAAACTGCGACATGAAAATTAAAATGAGCCGAAAATAAAGCTATTAAAAAAATAAAATTGTCATTGTTAGTGGTAATATTATTCTGTAAATTACTGTAAAATCTTTTCAATACACATTTAGATAAGAATTTCAATTCAATCGTAGAAAAAATGTTGTGTGCAACATATACAAAAAGTATATTTGTTGCACTCAGCATGATTGCAGCTTTCGACTTCGTCTCGAGCTGCAAAAGTCATGCGTCGTGCAACAAGTGTGTCCTTTTTGCACTTTTTGATGTTAAATGTTTCGGAAAACAGAAAAAATATTTCTTTTGTAGATTTTCTCAAATAACTCGAAACCTGTGAGAGATACTGGAAACCGGTTTGTGGCAGTCGATTCTAGATAAAATGAACTATCAGTAGGAATATTTTAGTTGCGATCTAAGGGATTACACAAATAACTATTTCGAAAAAACTTTTAATTTTAAAATTTTTTTATTGTTTCTTACTAGTAGATGTGTAATTTCGAGTAAACTGATTTAAACATATTTCAAAAAGTTTCTTAAACTTTTTCTGTGAGTTCGGCCACTTTTGCGTTGTTCAAATGGATGAACTAAAAATTTTTCAATATGAGCCATGAAAAATTTGCGAACTTTCTTAGCGTATTGAATTTCTAATCTCCTCTTCGGCTACCTACGTAGAGTGGAAGGAATTGCGTGTGACGTCAGCAGCACTAGCCGCATTTATCGAAAATCATTCTGGCCGCATTTTCGTCGATGCGATTCGTGCGGCTCTGGCTAGTGTGCGCACCTTCATTGAAAGTAACACAAACAATATTTTTCTTCGGTCGATGCGGCGCGTGCGGCTCTGGTCAGTGTGCGCGTACCTTTACACTACAGCGAGAGGTATTCACTCGTGAAAAAGTTGGGTGCAGTTAGTCGTGAAGTTATACACTTAGACTGCTTACATTGGAGCGTTTTATGAGTGGTTGCCATATCGTAGATATTTCCATACTAGGATTGCTAAAAATGTTGTTATAGTTTGTAAAGGGCGTTTAGTCTCTCCAATATACGACTCACCGCATTCACAAGGTACTTGGTAGATACAGTCTTTCTTTTGTTTCAATGACTCCAGTCTTTTTTTTGTTAAGGTACTTCTTAGGGTTGATCCTTCTAGAGGCAACTTTCTTTAAGAGGGTTGGTAAAAAACAAGGTGCAAAAAATTTTGATGATCTCTATCCGATAGTTTTAGAGCATAAGCTAAGATAAAACGCCTTATGTCTAGTGTCATGTTCATGGTTAACATATTCTATGGGTAATTTCCCCTGATAAATAAATTTTATGATATCTAAGCTATACAGCTGACTATATCCAGTAGGTGCGTCTGCTTAAAGAGAATGTTTGTGTAAAGAGAAGGTTTTCTTTTTATTATAAGGCAACGGCCTAGCCACGTTGAAACACCGGTTCCCATTAGAACACCGAAGTTAAGCGACGTAAGGCGATACTAGTGGATGGACGGGTGACCGGTTCGAAACTCTGTATCGTGCTGTTGTCCAAGGGAAAAGTGTAAAATCTATTGATACACACTGCTCATTCACGCCGGTTCGAGGCCGGATGAGATCGGATATCTCGTGAGTAAGAGTTAATTTAGACATTTCCTAAGTCGGTAGGCCACTGACCATGATATGGCCGAGGACCGCGGTTCGGATTCCGCGTAAACAAAGTAGGCCCCGTCCAGATTAGCCCTGGCAGCAAAAAAGAGACGTTAACTGAAATCTTTACTATACTTTTTTTTATTATAAATTATTTTTGTGAATCATTTTTCAACAGAATTCAAGCTTTTAAAATGACAATCAGCCGCACCACCCCACCCTAGTCAAAGATAGTCAAATGGTATTGTATTACGGAATGCGTACAGGATTTGAAGCTGTTGGACGTCCAAAAAACTCTTCAAATAATTGAATTTCGATAACAATCCAATAAATTTTTTAATTATATTATTAAATGAATATTCCTGTTAAGAAGTTTGTCAATTGTAACCCCTAAACAAGCCTGGATATTTTTTTGGAAATTTTATATTTTTGGAATTATCTTTTATCAGGCTAATTTTAAAATCATTATTACTATACAATTTTTAAAATAAACTACTCAAAACAATTATCGCATATTTTCTAAAAAAATATATTATTTGAAAAACAAGACTCTGAATTCCCTGACTTACATTTTAAAATAGTTTAGATACTGTGAAGGGAAATTCGAAACAATAAGCCTACCTGTTTACCTGCAATTTTTAGTCGGCCGACTATTTAGTCGCAAAAGTGAAAACAGTACATACTTATGGAGTCGATCGGCCGACTATTTGATTGCATGTGAGCGCGGCTCCATGAAAATATATTGGTTGCAAATATGCAACTAAATAGGGGGCCGATTAAAAATTGCCTGTCAGCGTATAGCCCAAGGCTACGCAATACAATCAAATAGTGGGCCGATCATCTTCATTCAGGTTATACCGTCCACTGCTGAACAAAAGCCTCCCTTAACTCTAGCCATTTCCTTCTATTTTGTGCCACTTGAATCCAGTTTCCAGCCACCCTCTTAATGTCATCTGTCCATCGACTAGGAGGTCGTCCTCTGCTTCTATAGGCCTCGTGTCTCGGTCTCCATTCCACAAGTCTCTTTGTCCACCGTCCATCGGTCATCCTAGCCACATGTCGTGCCCAATTCCATTTAAGATGTAAGACAGATATCACCGCATCTCTTACTCCTGTTCAATTTCGTATTGTATGATTGGGTATTTTATCTCTGTGTAACTCCCAACTTGGACCTTTCCATTTTCCGTTGCATGACCTGCATTCTATGTATGTTCTTTTTTGTCAAAGTAAGAGTTTCAGCTCTATACGCGAGGACAGGCAAGACACACTGGTTAAAGATCTTTCTTCTTAAACATATGGAAATATCAGATCTCAGTATATGCCTTAGTTTTCCGAAAGCCTTCGACAAACCTATTCTTCGTAGAATTTCTTTGGTCTGATTATCCCTTCTAATACCGATCTCATGCCCTAAGTATTTATATATATGCACTTGTTCCAAAGGTATGTTATTAATGTTTGAATTTCCACTTTTGTCATGTATTGTGTCTTTGACAAGTTAATTTTCAAACCGACTTTTTCCGAAGCATCATTCAGCATATCCAGCATATTCTGTGCCTCCTGTATGTTGTCTGTTATTAAAATAATGTCATCTGCAAAACAGAGATGATTTATCAATTTGCCATCGATGTTAATTTCTGTTGAATCCCAGTTTATCATTTTTCACATACTTTCTAGCACAGCAACGAATAGTTTAGGGTACAGTGTGTCGCCTTATCTTACCCCTCGATCGATATTGAATTTCTCTGTGCATTCATTTGTCGATATTCTGACGTTTGCCGTGGCATTATCACCGTGGCAGTCTTATGATTGAGGAGTATCGATGATCGATGCGACTCTCACTTATGTCTCTAGAAGCTTCCGCTGGTCTACCGAATCGAAGGCCTTCTCGAAATCCACGAAGACAAGCATTAGTGGTCTATTATACTCAATGCATTTCTCGATAAGGACCTTGACTGTTAGAAGATGGTCATTTGTTCCGTAACCTGATCGGAAACCTGCTTGTTCGCTCGAAAGAAAAAAGTCTATTTTATTTGTCAAACGCTTGGTGAGTATTTTAGTAAATAATTTGTATTGTATTAGTAAATAATTTGTATTTGTATTTGGCCGATCGGTTCCATATAAACGTATTATTTTGACTTTTGCAACTAAATAGTCGACTAAAAATTACATGTTAGTGCGTACCCTAATTATCCTAAAAAAAACTCAAGAGAAAGGCAGAAACATGCATGCTTCATTTAGAAATATGTAATACATTCCGTATGATCTTACCGTATTTACATATAAAATGACGGCAATCTTCATTTCATAGCCATCGCTGACGCCGTTTTTTTCGACCATACGGTACTTTTATTGAAATATGCGATAATTGTTTTGAGTAGTGTATATTAAATAACTTGAGTGAGAAACATTTTCTATTTTTTTCTCAACGCCCGTTGGTGCGGGTAAATTTATATTTCATATTTTCCCTGTGCGAGTTATCCATTAAATATCATATAAATTTTGATATCATTCCTTATTTGAACTGTTCTCATAGTGTCTGGTACGTAGAATTTACTTGTATACGTGAGTATTATTATTTTTAAATTTATATTAATATATTATAATATATTTTGAATTATTTAATAATAATTGTCTATAAAATAAATAATTAAAATATGTCTACAATTTATTTATATTTACAATAAGAAACTAAACTTTTTGACTTATTATTTAAAAAATAAGTACTGTTTGTTAAAGTAAGCGATATAAATAGACTTTTTGCCGGTTTTGCAAATATCATGTAACCGTTCGTGACAAAACCTGATGCCAAGTGGTAATGAAATAAAGATACCTCGATAAACCTAATGGATTGATGAATTAAAATTCTTACTGTTGCTTTCGCCTGTAATAGCGTAACAGCTTGATTAGTTAGAACTCGGTAGCTAAAATAGTTTCTTTACATGCTGAAATGCCATAAATCAGTTTAAATAAACTAAGATGTAAGTTTTATATTTCTAAAAAATGTATATATTATACATATTTAAATATTGTTTTTTATATCAAATTAATGTTCTATAAATGATTGCTTTAAAATTTGACACCTATATTTTTATTGCTTTTTACTGATCTGTCATTAAAATATATTGTCTACATTGTCTGTTCTTTATTAGTAAAAATATATCTTTCATTAAATATTCTTGTCAGCTAAGTGGTATAAAAAAAGAACATTAAAATTTCTCAAAACAATAAATCTTCTTTTTTAATTTTCTACTATATAATATCTCATACAATAGACACAATAACAAATAATAAAATAAAAAATAGTATTGAACACTTTTATTACTAAATTATTGCTAATATTTTAACAGTTCTCAAGTTATTATTGTTATAGATTTTTTTTAGTTAAGAAAGAATATTTCTTTTTACACATTACTGTATTCCGTAGAAATATAAGAAAATCTGTTTTTATTTGTTCCACAAAAGGGGAAAGTGTAGTTCATATATTCTTCAGTTATGAATACGGCTATATTTTTCTGCAGATAAATGATTGTTTTCCACACAAATGTTTACTATATCCACAATTGTTAATATTTTAAAGAAAAAACACATTTATTTATAAAACAAATTTTTATTTGCAGAAAAATATAGTCTTATTCATAACTGAAGAATATATGAAAGACACTTTCTTTTGTGTAGTTTTTGTGCAATATTTTCTTTTATTTCTACGGAATGCAGCAGCGTGTAAAAAGAAATATTTTTCTTAACTAAAAAAATCTATAAGAACATATTAACAACATTGATTAGTTAGAACTTGGTAGTTTAGTTTAGTAGAAATAATTTATTTACATGCTGAAATGCCATATATCAATTTGAAATAAACTAAGATGTAAGTTTTAAATTTTTTATCATCATCATTAATCATTCAGCTTATTCAACCATTTCCAATCTTAGTGTAGCCTCCCTCACATATTTACATACTCTCTTCGTAGTTGGGGCCAATGTTGTTTATTGATGGCTATGCGGGCCCAAGTTATCCCTGCTAATTTCCTAATATCATGGTCCCATTTCAGGTTTGGTGTTTCTCTAGGTCTCTTGATTCCTTGTGGGTACCATGCTCTAATTTTTGTGGTCCATCTGTTGTCCCTCCTCCTTGCCAGGTGTCCTGCCCATTGCCACTTGAGGAATTTAATTCTGTGGATGGCATCTATTACCTGGGTCTTTTGTCGTATCCACTCTATTCTTTTTCGGCCTCTCTTGGTTATTCACAGCATATTTCTTTCCATTGAGCGTTGTGCGACCTGCAGTTTTTTTAAAATGTCCGTTTTAAGTGTCCAGGTATCGCATCGCATACATAGGTCATGACTGGTAGTACACATTGGTTAAATGTTTTTTTCTTTAGATAAAGTGGTATTCTAGATTTGAATATGATTGAGTTTCTTCCATAAGTACTCCATGCTAACTTAATTCTGTTAATTTCTGGTAATAGAGATCCCGAGCTGTGTATTAGTTGCCCCAAATATATATATTCTTCTACTATTTCCAGTACTGTGTTATTTACTTGAATGTCTTTTCTGTCTACCAGTTTGTGGTACATTACTTTAGTTTTTGATAAATTCATTTTGAGACCTACTTAATTTGTGCTTGTAGTTCTTCAGAACTGTTGGCAATTAGGACTACGTCATCACCGAATCTTAGATGGTTAAGATATTCGCCATCTATTCTGAATCCTTTGTTGGTTCAGTCGAGTTAACGGAAGATTTCTTCTAGTGTTGCTGTAAACAGCTTTGGGGATATTGCGTCTCCCTGTCGTACTCTGGGGTTCTTTTATATATCATTACTCCTATAATATATCATTACTCCTTTATATATCAATATCTCATATAACAGACAATAACAAATAACAAAGCAAAAAATAGTATTGAACACCCGAAAATATTGAACATGTATTATTAAATTATTGTTTATATTTTAACAGTTTTGAAGTTATTATTGTTCTTATAGCTTTTTTTTAGTTAAGAAAGAATACTTATTTTCACGCATTGCTGTATTCCGTAGAAAAAAAATCTATTTTTTTTGTTTCACAAATGAAGTGTAGCTCATATATTCTTCAGTTATGAATGTCACTCTGACAATATTCTTCAGTTATGAATATGACTTTACTTTTCTGCAGGTAAATGTTTATTTTCTATATAAATGTGGTTTTTAAAAAATACTAACCCTAATTATGGATAGTAAACATACAAATAGATATTTAAAATAATTGCCAATAATTACAATTATTTATATTTATATAATTTTTAGGTTTTTATAGTATACTGTGTGTATTGGGGATAGATTACATCAATAAATTAAAACGGTATCTGACTTGTCGGTTTTGTCTGACACAGTTTGAACGATTTAGTGTTACTGAACGTTACTGAACGTCTTTTTTATATTAATCGTGTATCAGTTTAAATTTAAATTATGGAAAGTATATGAGCCGATACTTTCTTTTAGTAACTCTACTTACTTTAGTTTAGTTTAAATTTGTTTAATTGGGATATGGCCCATTTAGTTCTTCATACTTCTGTGAGGTTGCCAACCGTCCTCTATTCCAGAGGACAGTACTCTTCTTGATCTCACTGTCTTCTTTTCTCTCACGTATTGAAAAAGTCTTCTTTTTTACAGACCCAACACAAAATCTAAAAAATATTCGTCTTATCGCCAGAAGGCTTTAAATTTTTTTATAATCTGTGTTTTTGCCCACTCGTTTGTACAGAAGTAAAAATGAAAAATATTTATCTACAAGAAATATTTGTGGAAGCAGTAAACATGTTTAAATATTTTATGTTTACTTATTGTTATGCTTATGTTATGAAAACTACTTGTTTAAGGGACTCGTTTACTGGTTGCTTATGTTTTGAAAAAACAGTTTGTTGAAAATGGTTTCTTTTGTTTTAACAAGTTTTGAGCATAAATATCGACGATCAATCGCATATCGTTTACATAACTTTTTGGTGAATTCTAGATATTGGGGCGAGGTTTTAAAAAATGTTTCGCCTGCGCATCTTTTTTAACCTCTCGTTCTCTATTTTCTTTTTTTTAAAGTTGGCAACCTTAAGGTTGATTCTCACTATACCTTCCGTTTCTATTCCATACCCATTCCATGTCCGTTCCGTATTTTTGATTGTATTGACGCCATACGTAAGCTTCCGTTCCGTATGAGTTCCATACCTTTTATTGTACAATTTATATCATTACGAAAGTATTATTTTAAAAATTTGTATATTTTGAAAAAGGTAATAGATTTAATTAAGAGGTGAAAGAATAAACAAGTACCAGCAAAATCTTCACAGAGCTGGTACAAATGTAAGAACTTGACAACGCTGTTTCCGATACGCTTCAGTCCGTCCGCCAAAAAACTGTATGGAAGGAAAGGATATGGAACGGAAGGGAAACGGAACGGGATAGTGTGCATTATCCTATTCATTTACATGATATAATAACTTATGTAAACGGAAGGGAAACGGAAGGTAGCTGATACGGAAGGTATAGTGAGAATCAACCTTTAGGCTGATCGTACACAGAGGAAGCTAAACTCTTTTAGTCAAAAATGTTTTTGAAACTAAAAGAATTTCGGTCTTCCATTGTCTTTATTTATTTTGCTTACACAACGTTTCGGTCAGAAGAAACCATTATGAAGTGTGAATTAAACCTAAAACAAAAGTTAAAACCTAAAAGTTAAGTCCTAAAACTAGTGAGCTTATATATTAGAGCCGAGCATTCACCCGTAAAGAAGTTGGGTGCAGTCAAGCATGAGGTTGTCCACTGAAAATACCTGTATTGGAGCGTTTTATGAGTGGTTACCATATTGTTGAAATTTCCATACTTGGATTGCTAAAAATTAAAGCTTACTTTCTCATCTATTTCTTTATCTATATCTGTCTCTGTCATGAACTTCAATGGCTACTATAATATCCAGTATTTTTATTATATGAAGATTTCTTTAAATACCTTCTTTTCTAGCTTTCAACATGGGCGATAGTCCAAAGAAGAACAGCGAAAATAACGATTTTGGCGATGTTGAATTTCCGAAGAACGAGAAGAAAGATGACAAAGATTACCCCGTAAAACCCCATAGGCCTTATCCAGGGTTTAGAAAAAACTTTTATTACTATTTCAGTGAATATACTAATAATACCGGTATTCACGGTTTTAAATATATGGGAGAACAAGAAAGGACTATTTTTGAACGGTAAGTGGAAAATAATGAAAATGTATATTTTGATACATATTTTTCGAAATATAAATTGTACGAAAACACGATTTTTACATTTAACATAATTTTATTATTTTTGTAACTGGGGTATGTGATATTTGCACTGTGGAATGATAGGATAGCCACAGTTAGGAATGTAGGGTGTGTGGGAGGGAGGTTAATTACCGCGACCCTATAGATCTATTGTGCCCCCCTCCTTGTCTTACAGTCTCAAAGCCTTGACAAAAGCCACTATCTGAGACGGCTTCGCAGAGGCTAGTTCCATCTCCGATATCAGTCGTACCTAAGTTTATGATACGAATGGTTTTCGTCTCAGCGTACTCAGTGATGAGGTGTTAGGGCCGGGTTATTTTTCTCAATCGTAAATTCTAAGAAAATTCTTCGGGTGTTTTAGACCGTTGGAGGATTCCCATTCCAGGTTACGGATGGAGTGTTCCAGGTTCTTGATTTCGGCTTTAAGTTGGTTTCCACTTGGGAAGCAAAACGGTTCTGGTCCAGTTAGTGGGAGTGCTCGCTCCTTTTCTAGCTAGATCGTTTACTTTTTTATTGCCTACTATCCCAACCCAACCCAACCAAGAGTAGGAAAAGTTTATTTTCTTTTTCTAATTTGTTCAGCTTCTGTAAACATTCTTTGACTAACTTTGAATTGATGGTTACTGAGTTGGTGGCTTTTAGTGCTGCTTGACTATCGGATAAGATGGCTATTTCCTGTTTTTTATAGTTTCTATCTAAGATAAGTTTTACGCATCTTTTGATAGCGTAGATTTCTGCCTGAAGGATGCAGGGGTAGGGTACCCTTTGATTCGGAGTATTTAGTTTTCGGTCCAAATACACCTATCCCTGTCCCTGCTTTGGTTTTGGAAGCGTCATATCACGTAATGGTATGGTCTCTTACCTGTTGAGTAAACGTTTTCTCTTCCATTCCTTTTTATTGCTCAATACTACAGTGAGGTGTTTCTCAAAGTTGTACATTCTTGGTATGTCATCCACTGGAAGTTAGATGAGTAAATTTCTGAGGGTGTTTCAACCCACTGAGCTGATAATTCTCTCAGTACCCAAGTAGCATTTTCACGACTTGCGACCACATGTTTACTAAACACAACGTTGGATTAGTTACAAAAAATAGTTAGCTCCGTACCTTGGGTATTAAAATAAATGTAATCGTTGTTGTGACTTTGTGCCGACGTTGAACTAGAACTACAACAAAGTAAAAGCTTCTGCGATGTCGAATAAACGTTGTCTTGTAGCCTTTTTTGCTTAAGTGATCTTTAGGTGATTCGGACAACGTAGTTACAATGTTGGGTAAGAGTTTTCCGACGTCAGTTTCAGGACCTATTCCAACGTTATGCAAACGTCGTCTGTTTTACTAATTCCAACGTTGTTTAGATTTCATTATTCTTACGTTGGTAGGACATCGAGCCACTACCTTTTTGCAACTGTATTGAACCATAACCTTAAATCTTAAATTTTCACTTCATTGTTCTGTTCAGTCAGACAGTTCAGTGCTGTTTTTGTTTTTATAAGAAAAACTTAATTAAAATGGGACATAAGAAAGGTACATATAAAACTAAATTTAAATATACATTGACATATTACCGATACTTTATCCACTCCCTCGTTTATTTAGAATATCGAGGGCGGCACAAGCTAGACTCTAGGATGACTAAGTTAGGCAATCTTGCGACTAGTATACTACCTGTTAAGGCTGAACTGCGACTTTATTAGTCCAGTATGCGACTACTCGAACTGCTCCATCTTAATCTCCAAAACAACAAAGTGAAAGCCGCCATGTTGTTGAATAAGAAAATGTTTCGTTCCTAAAATAGCAATTCCTTATTGAAATATTTTTTAAGAGACATAATTTATAGGATGGGGGAGGGTGTAGTTAAATAAAAATTTTGGTATTTTTTTTTATTTATTAACGCTAATTTTGTTCTTGGTCTTACTTTTTTTTAATTTACATTATAATGTTGTTATATTAATTTGTAATATTTCATGTTTTTAGTTTATGGTGGCTGATACTTTTTTGTGTTTCTCTTTATATATGTATTTACTTAATTATTGAAACATGGGTAAAATGGAATACTTCTCCAGTGCTTGTAAGTTTTGCCAGAAGTCCTACTCCTGTGTGGCAAGTACCATTTCCAGGTAACGGCTACTTTATTTTTCAACATGATTGTGTTTCGTATAATTAATCGAAAAACGTTGTGTTAAATTACTATTACTTTAACTTATTACTAATTACTTTTGTGTAGAATTCATTTCATTTGGAATAGTCATTTACAAAAATCTACTTTCAAATTAGTAAAATTTATAATACAGCCCAGAGAAAGCTACAATTAAAATACCAGCAAAAATGTAATTGTTATTGTCAAATTCAATGTCACATTGCGGTACCAAATAGTAATTTTGTATAACATAATAATTATGGATTTCGCAACTTTGAAAAAGTTACGATTGTTGTGCATTTTGCTGGAAACAGTATTCCCGCTGAGTTAGATATGTTCGCAGCTCAGTCTCCGGAAAGTCTATACCGAATAGTCAACAGTTTAAAGAATAAACCGGAGGTTTGAAACTAAAGGCACTAAGATATTAAGCACATAGAAGTGTGAAGACAAAAATTATTGAACAGAAAGAAAATAACAATGACTTGAATATTATTCATGTTGAGGAAAAGAAAAACATTGACTCTCGTTTATTATTATACATATATATATATATATATATATATATATATATATATATATATATATATATATATATATATATATATATATATATATATATATATATATCTCGTTACAGTATAATCTTTCGCCGAACGACTTCTTCCTGTAGAGCACACTCAAAAACTATCTCAATGGGCACATTAAATACAGAAATTTAGACGGACTAAAAACGACACCTCTGTGGAATGGTAAAAATTCTACCCTTAACAGTTTTGTATTGTGAGTCGTGAATTTCACAATCATTTCGGGGATTGTTTGGATGTGAATGGGGAAATATGTATATAAATATTTTATTAATTAGTTTAGTTTAATAGAGTTCTTTGTGTTACAAATATTTCGATTATCCCTTGCATTATTGAGGGTGTATGTGGTATAAGCGAGGCCTGCGAGTGATCGAGTAAGAAACAGCAAAAAAAGTCGTACACCGCCAATACTCTATTCTGAGTTCAACTAATTCGGGTCCGGTGAACTATCCTGACACACGATATTTGCATTTTTCTTTTTTTTTATCAAAAAGTAACCGTTTTTAGTAGTAGTTTCAAATAAAAATAAATGGAGATTATGCACAGAATTTTAAAATATTTTAAATTAATTTTAGTAGCTTTTGACATATATTTGACGTTATGGGGAATTTTAACACTTGATTTAACATGACAGCGACAAAAGGAAAAACAATGTTGCCAGTTCCACTGAATTTTCTTTTTCTGTTTTTCATTTTTATTTTGAATTTTTATTTGAAAATGCGTTGGTAATGTGTGAATGGGAAAACAAAAAAACAACAGAAGAGTGAAACAAAATATCAATCAAACAGATAAAAAGAAAAACAAACAGCCAAACCAACCCAAACCAACCCGACCAAACCCTAACCAACCCATACAAAACCAACCAATACAAAAACAACCAATACAGAACCAACCAATACAAAACCAAACCAACCAATACCAAACTAACTCAACCCCAGCCAAACACAAACCAAAGAAATGAAAACAGGCTTACAGCGTGTTTTCTTTGCTTTGGAGGCTTTTTTTTTGCTAGAGCTATGACTATAGCAATCGTCTCGCCGGCGCCATAATATAGCCACTTTGATAAACTAAAGTAATCTAATTCGTATTAAAAAAAACATTTTAAAATCTATGACGTCATTTTTTCCCTAAACAAAAAAGATGCATGAAATTCCGGATAATTTACTAGCTGATCTGACAACCACGTATCAATTCGCAAATATTTGTTAAAATTCGACCTTCACTACTGTCAGCGTAAACATAGAAACGGATATAAACAAGTCCGCGACTCTTTCATTATCGGTTATGGAATTTGCTATAAAAATCAAATAACAACATTTTTAAGAATATTTTTTATGTGAAACATGTTTTTCCGCATCAGATTTTAGTCAAAGAATCCAAGAAGTTTTGGTAACATAAACTTCATTTTCTAAGAAAAATCGTGTGTCAGGATAGTTCACCGAAGATTCTTTTGTAGATGATCATTTCATTTCAGAAAAAAAAATAATCACCTTTTGCAAACTTTCAGACCACTGAAATTCTTGTAAACCAAAAAAAATGTGACATCGAATTTGACAATGACAAAATCATATTTTTGCGGGTATTTTAATTGTAGCTTTCTCTGGACCGCATTATAAATTTTTAGTAATTTCAAGGTAGATTTTTGCAAATAACTTTTAGATACCTATTCCAAATAAAACGAAATTCTAGATGACAGTACAGCCACAGTTTAAAGAATATAAATATATACAGTTGGCCCACTCTAAGGAATTCTATTGTTATTTTGACTTCAAAGGCGGCCCCTGATCCTTCGAGGTGACAAAAAATTTGTACGCATAGATAAATGAAACAAGTTTAGATTGGAAAGTGCCCATAAGGACAATGTAAACACTATTTGGCGCTATTCTTGCAACGGTCGCGACCCAAAACTTTTAAAAATTTCGGAGCGGTTCGGCTTTTTCCGGAATTATATCGCCAAATATTGTTTATTCAAATTTATTATTATATTCGTTTAATTTTATAAATAAAAGACAGTGTGTTGCATACAAGAAACTTTATTTTATATAAGGACGCATGTATGAAATAACTATGAAACATTGGAAACCGACGTTATGCCACGATCCACGATGGTTTTTGCAGTTCACAGTTCACAGCACAGATTTTTAAGTTTTTAATGCCACTTTGTCACAATTATCACAGGTTGGAGTAAATAAAACTTGAATTAAACTCACAAGATAGGAATTATTACTTTGAAAATGGACGCTATAAACACTTTTCGGAGTTTCTTTAATGAGAGCGGTTTAGATTTTGAAAGATTATTATGATTTTTGAAGATTCTGATTTTGACAAGAGAAAATTATTTCTGTTTTTGTTTGGCCGTTGTTCTTAGCGACCGCTATAGCAGCGCCAGATCGCGTATAACGGTCGCGACCCAAAATAATTTCCCGACCTAAAATTTTTACGGGCTTACCAATCTAAACTTGTTGCATTTATCTATGTTTGTACGTTTCCCGGGTGCAGCGGAAGTGCTATTTTATCAGTCAGAACGCTGGCCGTATACGAGGGACCAACTAAAAATACTAAGAAATTTTAATATAGCAAGTAGAAAAATAAAAATACAGTACTAGTTTTATTGATTGACAGTTTTAGGCGTCTTTAATAATTGATCAATACTTTCTTCTTATTATTATTTAATAACATATCTCATAAACCGCAAATTCTAATACCGTTATGATATTGTTCTGGTGTATAATTTTCATATCTGTGGGATCCTATAAATCCTAAGGCACTTTTCCAGGCTCCACACCTACAAGTTATTTTCCTTATCAGACTCTACTTATACATATTATGGTGAATACGTTAATATTAAAATATTAACTACAGGACTTCGTAAAATGTCCTTAGAATCATGTTATGACTGGCACTAACATTCCCCGTGAAATTATTGTTGTTTTTTTCGACGGTGTTTAAGCTATCCCCACCTATATCAGCTGTCCTCAAATGAGGACGCTGGGCGTTAATGGGTTAATATATATAAGAATAATTTGCATATTTCTTAAATTATAGCATGTCTCGCTTAATAGATGTTTGCATTTTACTTTAATTACCTACTCGGAAAGCCTAAATTTTATCGTAAGATAATAAAAGTACCTTTGCATACAACTTGTGTTGCCATTGTCAATTTTTTTTGAATTTTTTCTAAATTTTATGATTATCATGAACAGTAATTATGACTGTTAGTAGTTAATTGTGTAATAAATTTTACTGTTCGATAAAATTTAGTAAAAACTTAAAAAAATTACTATGGCAAGAGAAGTAGTAGATAGTAGGTAGATAATTCAAGTTAAATGCAAACAGCTAAAAAGCAAAACATGCTATAACTTAAGAAATATGCAAATATGATTTATTACAGTATTTACTACTAATTGAAGAGCACACGGGAAAAATAATGAAAGTACCAAAAAGCTACACCTTTTGGTACCTAAATAAACGGGAATATCGATAACGGCCACATAGAAACAGGCATTTAAAAATGGGAAAAACTCGGATATAAAACTCCATGCGTAATTTCAATTAAAAAAAAACAGTTTCCTGAACATTTATCATTTCTGGATACTCATCGTTTTTCCCATGTGCTCGTCAATTGTTATATTTACTGTTACATAAAATTTAGTAAAAACTCTAAAAAACTTGTCAATAGCAGAACAAGTTGTATGCACGTATTTTTATTACCTGACGATAAAATTTGGACTTTCCAGGTAGGTAGTTAAAGTTAAATACAAACATCTAAAAAGCAAAACATGCTATTTAAAAAAATGCAAATATCTTTAAAAATAATTTAATATGCACTTTGCCAACCGGTAAATACTGGAAAATCCAAAACATAATAGTAAAGTATCTACTACTGGGTCAAAATCACGAAGGTGCGAAATTCGCTTCGCCCCAGTATAATTTGCAAAAATCGCATAGTTACTGAATAACTAAATTTTGATAAAAATTTAATTTATTCGTTTTATCTGCACATTATTTAACATACTTTAAATGTAAATAATATTTAAAGTTATTTCAAATTATGTACATAAAAAGTCATTTCGAGAACGCATCCTAAAGTAACGATCCCTAGAAACAAGTACTAAGAACGCCTATAAATTAAACAATATTACACATATAGAAATTATTTGGAAAAAATCAAAATAAAAATGAAACTTCTACACCCTGTATCTCCGAAACTAAGCATTTTAGGACATACATTTATACGAACTTTTTTACTTATTTTTATCTGCAGAATATGCTGCCGAAGTTTCCGGAATACAGTTCGGACCACCCTGTATATTGTTGAGAAGCGTCTTCAATATTTCCCTCGTATAATAAAAATAGTGACATATTTTAGAAAAATAGGTTGATATAACTCAACAATAGGTTATGAAATTCACGTAACTTTCATCGTTTTATCCACATTTGACTATTAGTAAACTATTAGATATCTGAGAAATTGCGATGCTGTCAATATGTGCTCAACACGTATCCAGAAAACGATTCGCACGACAACGAGAGAGAGAACTAGAATACCAAAATCGACTGCTTGGCGTTTCGCTAATGGAATTCTTTCGTTTGCCGCTTTTAAAGCGTAACGTCCTTATGTCGAAGTTCCAGAATTCGGGCCCTGGTATTTACCCATTTTCCCCACAGAATCTGCAGTCGCCATTATTTCTTAGCTTCAGTCTACTGAGGTGTTTGTTGAGGAGTCCTGTTAAGCCCCGTGACAATCCAAAGATTGTTCTTATTTAAACCAAGGAAAATCTTGGATTTTTCTCGATAATAAGTCCTGAGAAAATTCTTTGAGTGTCTTCGACCGTTGGTGGATTCCCATTCCAACTTACGGATGGAGTCTTCCAGGTTCTTGAGTTCCGCATTAAGTTAGTTCCGCATTAGTTTAAGGCTACCACTTGGGAAGCAGAACAGTTCTGGTCCAGTTAGTGGAGTGCTCGCTCCCTTTCTAGCTAGATCGTTTACTTTTTTATTGCCTTCTATACCAACTCAACCCAATCCAGATTAGGAGAAGTTTATTTTCTTTACCTAATTTGTTCAGCTTCTTTAAGCATTCGAAGAACCAACTTCGAATTGATGGTTACTGAGTTGGTGGCTTTTAGTGCTGCTTGACTATCGGATAAGATGGCTATTTCCTGTTTTTTATAGTTCCTATCTAAGATAAGTTTTACGCATCTTTTGATAGCGTAGATTTCTGCCTGAAGGATGCAGGGGTAGGGTGCCCTTTGATTCGGAGTATTTAGTTTTCGGTCCAAATACACCTATCCCTGTCCCTGCTTTGGTTTTGGAAGCGTCATATCACGTAATGGTATGGTCTCTTACCTGTTAAGCAAACGTTTTCTCTTCCAATCCTTTTTGTTGCTCAATACTACAGTGAGGTGTATCTCAAAGTTGTACATTCTTGGTATGTCATCCACTGGAAGTTAGATGAGTAAATTTCTGAGTGTGTTTCAAGCCACTGAGCTGATAATTCTCTCAGTACTGTTTCCGTCAATGACCATTCTAATCATTGCTGCATTGCCAGATCTACCAACGACAATGTGCAGTAGTGTTAGGTCTAGAATGACATTCATTGCTGCTGTTGGGCATGTTCTCATGGTACCTGTGATGCAGATGCATGCCAGTCTCTGTACTTTTCACATATTTTGCCTTGCTTTACGTTGCTCTGGTTTTGTGTATCAAGCAACTGCTCCATAGGTACCACATGGGGTATGTATTTTTGTTTGTTTACCATCTATTTTCCGCCAGTCTTCTGCATACCATGAGAGCCTTTGTGGTTTTGCTAGTAATGTTCCTAATAGGCCCGTTCCATAGAACTTTACTGTCCAGGGTTATTTCCAGATATTTGACTTCCTGTGATGGCAGTATTTTTTTCCATCTAGATGGATTATTTTCAAGTTTTTCAGACTTCGCTTTCTGGTAAATTTCACTACCGCGGTTTTGTCTGAGTTGATGCTCAGCCCGACAGTCTGGCACTATCTCTCAGTGATATGGAGCCCTCTCTCTCTCGATAATTTCATACAGCGTGCCTTCATGTTTCCCCTGAGCGGTAGTCACAGTTAAGTGTGGCTATCGTGGTCTAATACTGGTTACAACTTAGGGCAGGCAGTACCAAGTTGTGCATAACCAAATGGAAGCTAAGCTTAAGGCAGCTATACAGTTCCCAATTTTACTTACATACCAGAAATACTTGCATTGTTGCAGTTCACTTAATATAAGTACGCAATTTTTATTGAAATATTTTTTAAGAGACAGAAACCATATTTTATTATTTTTTATTTAATAATTTATAGGATGGGGCAGGATGTAGTTAAATAAAAATTTTGGTATTTTTTTTATTTATTATGATAAAAAAATGGGATTTAAATAAAAAAAAAACGTGAAAAACACCCATGACACGCATAACCCGCAAGGATCGTGGCCTTGCAGATTTAACGCTAATCTTGTTCTTGGTCTTACTTATTTTTAATTTACATTATAATGTTGTTATTAATTTATAATATTTCCTGTTTTTAGTTTATGGTGGTTGATACTTTTTTGTGTTTCTCTCTATATATGTATTTACTTAATTATTGAAACATGGGTAAAATGGAATACTTCTCCAGTGCTTGTAAGTTTTGCCAGAAGTCCTACTCCTGTGTGGCAAGTACCATTTCCAGGTAACTACTTTATTTTTTCAACACGATTGTGTACCGTATAATAGTAATCGAAAAACGTTGCGTTAAATTACTATTACTTTAACTTATTACTAATTACTTTTGTGTAGAATTCGTTTCATTTGGAATAGTCATTTTAAAAGTTATTTGCAAAAATCTACCTTCAAATTCGTAAAATTTATAATACGGCCCAGAGAAAGCTACAATTAAAATACCAGCAAAAATACGATTGTGTCATTGTCAAATTCGATGTCACATTACGGTATCAAACAGTAATTTTGTATAACATAGTTATGCATTTGTCAACTTTGAAAAAGTTAGGATGATTAAACGGCATTTTGATGGAAACAGTATTCCGATGCACCACACATATTAATTAATCCATTAGTTTTTTTTTATTTTAGCTGTTACGGTTTGTTCAGAAAATAAGCCCCGCCAGACTAGATACAATTTTACCGAAAATTATCATAGGATAAGAAACGAGTCCAATGATATGACCGAAGAAGAGTATATAATCTCCAAAATATGTAGATGTGGTCCGAATAATGCAAATTTACACTTATATTAACTTTCTAGGCATTTTAAAACAATCCGACCAAGCATACAATGTATTTTTCGTTGTTATGACAATACCAATTCAAGCAAACTAATAAAATGCCGGAAAAACAAAAACACAAGAAAGTATAGTTCATATCAAATAAACTTTTAGTCACGTGATTAAGCTTGACCGGCACAGTGTTGCCCACTTTTACATATTTTCTTTTAATCAAAATATTTTAGGAAACAAAAATAAATTAATTTTAAATATATAAACAGTTATTATTTACATCAACAAAACTCACCTTCTTAACTTCTTAACGCCACTTAAGGGACATAAAGGGCGATTACTACCGCTTTCCCGTCAAAATATTCTAATAAAGTTACCATGAGTTTTTTACGACTGGATTAATTAGTTATTTTTTTTAAGTTGTTGTATTAAAGTGACGCAACGCGCGCGGAAGCCAGACTACCCGTTTTTAGCTCTGCTTTCTCTCTTCTCTCTTCAGTTCTTCGCTCTAAGTGAGAGTATGGTGACATAATGTGTTGATTCCCTTCACTTCCTCGGATCAAGTTGTTCGACACTGCGCCATATGTGAAGATTCGGGAAGGTTTGTGGCCAACTAGGGTTTTGACTTGGTCTACCCACCTCTTAGGTGACCTTCCACGTGATCATCTCCCTCTACCTCCCTGCACTATCAGTCTCTCAATTGAGGTGTCACTCCTGACAATATGGCCAAAATATCGGAGGATTGACTTATTTAATCTGGTAACCAGACATGTCTCAATTTTTAGTTTCTCTACAATGGAAATGTTTGTTCCATGAGCCGTCCATGGGACTCGCAGCAGCCGTCGATATACCCACATCTCCAAGGCTTTGCTTATCACTTTCTTTTTTGCTTATCACTTATCACTTTTTCTTTGCTTATCACTTTCTTTTAGTGTCCATGTTGCGGAGCCATACATAGCTATGGCGAATACGAGGGAGTTTGCAATGCGCAGTTTAGTTCTTCGTGTGATTGCTGAAGTCTTCCATATCTTAGTCAGTTTTGTTATTGCATTCCTCGCCATTGCCACTCTGCGCCTGATTTCAGCATCGCATCCTCCAGAGTTTGCTATCATGGAATCTAAATAGTTGAACTGGCTCACAACCTCGTATCCAGCCACGGTTCGGACATCAGGATGGTTATTGCGGAGGCGGTCAACAATCATTGTCTTGGTTTTCCGTTTGTTTAGTTCCAAGCCATATTCTGCACTAATAGAGCACAGTGCAGTCATGACTTCCTGCAACTCTTCTTTGCTGGCGGCTATAATCACGGTATCATCCGCGTATCTCACGTTATTTATCCTCCTGATTTGGTGATATCCTGCTCTGTTTTCAAGGCTCTGTAAAAATTATAAATATTTGAGCTACAGCTCCAGGAGCTTGAACTTTATTCTAGTAAATTTCTTCATCTTTTTGGATTTTTTTTCAAATTTCGAAAATCTTCAATACTTTTCGAGATATTAAAAAAACCAAACCCCCACTTTTTTTTACTTAATTGTTAATAGCTTCAGTAATTTATTTCAGCGCCTTCTGCGACTTTTCCTTAAACTTTCTCGGTGACAATACGAATCGAATGACACAACATTCGTAATTCTAGGAGAATATTGAAAAATTTTACTAAAAATGGTACATGTGAACCAGACTATTAGACCACCTTTAAGGTATGTCTCCTTTATTGGATTTCTTATGCTCTTCTCCCTTTTAGAAACAGCAATTTCTAAAAAGAAACACAGTTAAACAATTTGATTGGATATTAATAAAATGCATACATATATTAAACACTCTACTCAATACCATATACTTAATTAAAAAAAAACATTGTTAAGTTGGGTTTGTATTAAATTAGTACGAATGGATTAAGCTATCTTGTACACTTCGCACTAAAAGAGGTTCTGAAAAGAACAATGTTCGAGTGCAAGGTCTGCTAGTAAATATTTTGAAGCTTAAGATATCACAACACAATTAATTTAAAACAAAAACTTGTAATACAAAACTAAAGTGTCAAAACGAGTGACAGTGGCAGGAAATAAATAAATAAATGGTGGCAACTTGACATTTTTTACACCAGATCTACCACCTGAATTCCCAGCGGGAAATTCAAATTCCAGTTAGTCAGCGCGGTGCCGAATATGTCCATGGTTGGCAACAATGAATTTAAAAATTGCGCCCTCGATTACGTAACTAAACGTTTAATTGGTATCAAATATACAGGGTGTTTCAAAACAAATGCGAAAAACTTCAGGGGGTGATTCCTTGTTCAAAATAAAGGGTAGTTTGCTTCATAAACGTTGGGTCAAAAGTCAACCATTAGAGAGATATCGCGGTACAAAGATGGCGGAAAAATAATGTTCTTATTTTTTATCTTGAAAACGAAAAGAGATAGACTAATGAAATTTTATGGAAGCATTACTGTTATGAAAACACACTTTCTGATTCGACGAAATTAACGAAATTTAAAGAAAAATCTTATCAAACACATACAGAAAAATTAATTTGGATAGTTTGGTTTGTTTAGAAACTTTTTTATCTCTTGTATTTTTTTTATAAAACTCACCGATTTGAAATTAAAAAATAAAATGTAAAGCATTACATGTCAGGACTAAAAATATTTTTAGATTAAGAATCTAGTGATAATAATGATAATAATAATAATCTAGATAATAACGTATTGCAGTAGGGTAATGTCAAATAAAACAATATTAGAAACATCCTAAAAGTGACAGCGGCCGACTAGATTTTTTCCTAAAAAATTACAGCTGCCCACTAGATTCTTTATCTAAAAATGTTTTTGTCCTGACATGTAATGCTTTACATTTTATTTTTAATTTCAAATCGGTGAGTTTTATCAAAAAACACAAAGAGATAAAAAGTTTCTAAATAAACTAAGCTATCAAAATTATTTTTTTGCATGTGTTTGATAAGATTTTTCTTTAAATTTCATTAACAAGAATCATAGGGGTAGTTTATTTCAACCCTTCCACTCATTTTAAAAAGTGAAAAAATTACCAGAAAGTGTGTTTTCATAACAGTAATGCTTCCGTAAAATTTCATTAGTCTATCTCTTTTCGTTTTCAAGATAAAAAATAAAAACATTATTTTTCCGCCATCTTTGTACCGCGATATCTCCCTAATGGTTGACTTTTGACCCAACATTTATAAAGCAAACTACCCTTTATTTTGAAGAAGGAATCACCCCCTGAAGTTTTTCGCATTTGTTTTGAAACACCCTGTATATGAGAGATTCAGAAATAAACTGGATCAAGTCCTAGAATATTATTATGGAGAAAATGAGAGTTAAAGTTTATTAATGTTACTTAATTAAAATAAAACAAGCTGAAGAAGAAAACTTGACACAATGTTTTATTATATTTTAAATTATATAATAATTGCAAACTAAAGTAACTCAAAATACAACTGTGGTCGTTTTTAAGAATGTTTGTTTATACTTTTTTGGACTTGAACCATTTTATCTCTGAAAATATTTAAAATTTTAGATATAAATTGGTTAATCGGTACATTTTAACAACACAACATTCTAAGGGATTTGTTGACTTCACATTGTCTATTAATACTAAGACTAGTAGTAGACAGTAGACTGTAAGATTAGTAGGAAACAATGCAATATAATGAAATGCTTGTTTTAGAAATAATTTATGCTCTTCTAAAATATGCACTATAATTAGTGCATATTTTATTTGTTTATTTATATAAAGGATTTGTTTTAAATCTTTAGTTGTAATTTTATATTAATAATAGCTTCTAATAACAATTCTTACCTAAAAGTTCAATTATAGGAATATTCTATTATTTTCAAAGGATTTGTGTTTAAGGTTTATTTATAGTTTCATATTTTTGTTAGGCCATGAACGGTTAACTGTTAAACTGTTTATTTATTTTTCGTAATAAAAAGATTTGTTTCGTTTACTATAACTTACTTTTATTATTCCTAATAGTATTTTTGATTTTATTTTCATGTTTGGACGGCACTGCTTTTAATAAATTATAAAATGCCTAAAACTAGACATACCTACATCTTTAAATTATTTACGTCCCTCTGTTCTTGTTTTTGATGGTATTTCATCAATTTGCTTGAATTGCTGTCATAACGAATCTTTTGTAAAATGCCTAGGAAGTTTTTAAAAAGTCGAAATTTGGCATTATGCCTACGACATATTTATCAGTATTATTAAATTTGTATTATTTTATAGAAAGAAACAATTTTCTGACATGGCATTAGTTTGTGAAAACCACATCTATAACCAGGGAAATTTAACGGCAGACTATAGTACTATTGAATTTTTAATGAGCGTAAGTAAACATTACTACAGATAACATAGTATACTAAGAGCTGGCAAAGGTTAGTCTTGGGTCGAGATTTCCGTATGTAAGAAGAGTACAATGCGTTTATAATGTACTGAACAAAGAGAGAACAGTAAACACGTTGCCAAATGCATGAAATAAACCGAGAAACTGCGCACATTGCTAAGAAACGTGGAAGGGGATATAGCAGATTTGTCGCAGTCGACCGGTAGACCCAGTCAGTACCTCTCATTTCTGTCAGTACTTAAAGTTATAGGGAAAGGTTTACACCATGCGTTCAGCTTCACGATTTAATTACGTCTCGCGATACTTATTTGTTTATTTAATAACGAGTCGTTGTAATTTTCAATAACTTGAAAAGTTTTAAGTGCAAGTTAGAAACACTTGCATTTTTGATAAAAATAAGTGGAATTCAGTTGGTGTTCGACAATGGTCGCGCTATTAGAATTCAAAAATCGATATCTCGTAATCTATTAAAAATAATTGATTGTAGTTTTCTCAAAAACTTTCTTAACATTTCTGTTATATTTTCTTCTCAGACAGTATGTGAAAATCTTTATAAATAAAAAGCTACACGATTGCTGAAAATTGATATGCAAAAAACAACCTTAATGAATTTTTCTTATTTGAACATATTGAAAAGATCCGATCTTCAAAATAAAAAAAAAACTTCAATGTCTAAAGTTAAATGGTTCTTAAGTTATAGCGTGTTCTGTGTTAAAAAGTTGAGGTTTTAAATTATCGCAATTACTGACGTTTTATTGTTATAAAAAATGATACCCTAATGATATCCTTATAATTTCATTTCAGATGTTCAGAAACATATCTAATGAGTTTATCTAGTTATCTTTTCCAAAATAAAGTCGTTTAAATATAAGCGGTTTGCGATCGTGATTTTACTTTACTTGATAGGGAAAGATGTACCGGCAACGCCGCATTAGCACGCCGTCGCATTTCTCTGACTCCGACTTAATAAGATCCCTATGCGATTTACTTCCACACATGTAAATACCGACCCAAAACTAATAGTTGCCAGCATGGTATACTGTGATATCTGTGATAATACCGAAAATTAAAGTTTTAGGGAAATTTTAAAAATGGCCAATGAAAGTTTTCATTTTAGTTTAGAACAAAATTTGTAATCAAAGATTTACTTCGAAAAGCAGCCACAATCATTTTTTTATCATGTTGTCAACAATAGTTGGTCGAGTTATGAAAACACTGTCTTTAACCATATCCCGATAAAAAAAAGTCAAGACTAGATAAATCGAGAGCATTTAAGTATTCTATTAATTGGTGAATGCACACTGCAGTCCCCAATTAATAGAATCATATCAATTTTCTCTGATATAGGATATGTTTCCATTTTCTGCAAATTTCTGAGAATTTTTTTTGTATTAACTGACATAAATTGATAACTAGTTGTTAAAGTTAAACTAATTTGACACCTATGTTGAAGTAACGTCAGACATATCACAGACACCTAGATTTTTTCAAATAAGAAAGATCTAGTCACTAAATCATAAAAATGAAAATATCTAGGAAAATCTTTGTTTGAGGGATAGGCAACCTTAATAGTATTTTGAAGATACATGAATTCCCCATTGAATAACGGAATAATATACTGGGTGCTTTTAAATGTGACCAATGTTCAATATTAATTTTGTCTCACCCTGTATAACAAACGGGTCAAGTTTTAAGTTCATTTATGTATAAAAGTTTTTTAAACTACATATTGGGCTATAATTGGGTAAATTCTACTTTAGGTAACTTTTATTGAAATTTAAAATTTGTTCTTGATTTTTAGAAAATGTTAGATATGTCAAAAACCTTACATTTTAGCCATATACTTCTCTAATGAAACTCGCTTCTATTTTTCTCCCAAAATCCGAAAATCAATTAACATATAGAGTGTTTTATTACAAAACACACAACTTTAATGTGTAACTTTTTTTGGGACACACTGTAGAACTCACTATAATTTTAAAGAATGCTCTAAATTAACCTACATATGCGCACATAATTTTATTACAATACAAACTGTCGTTCTTCTCGGCGGCGAATGAGAGGCGCGCCACCCTGTACTTAATGAATCAAAGTCAGAAAGTGTAAATTTTAGCTTTAAATTTTTTATTGTTATTTTTCGTAGATTGCACCTGATTTTAATGAAGTCTTATTGAACTGCAAATACACCTTGCTTAACGAAAGTTGCGACAACTTTTTCACACCCATCCTGACAGAAGAGGGACTATGCTTTACATTCAACATGTTAAATAAGGAAGAACTTTTTAACAACAACGTGTAAGATCACTTAGCAAAATCAACAACATTTTTGTTAACAATAAGGTGGCTAATAATTGTAGATTTTTGACTGGCGAATACATGGCCCACGATAGAAAATCTGAAGGGTGGAATTTGAGGGACGGATATCCAGCAGATGCGCCTATAAATACGTACCCTAGAAGGGCTATGTCTGCCGGATTCAGTTCTGGATTTTTGTTGTTACTGAGGGCGTTCGAAAAAGATTTAGATTACATGTGCAGAGGGCCTGTGCAAGGATTTAAGGTAATCAACTCAACTACTGTTCAATTTGCGATGTTTGAAACTTTCGTCATAATTTTCGGCGCCATCTTTGAATAAGAAGACTAAGGAAGGAGCATAATGCTATCCATGTATTCATGCATGGTGGGCGGAAAAAGCACTTTAGGGTGGGGATCCTTGACAGTTCTGTTTGACGATTCATTTGACACATTTGAATTTGATTTGAAATTTTGTGGATTTGTCAGTCATCACGGAGCTTATTTTATGTTATTTATTATTTATTCTACTACTGATAGTTGTATAAAGGTAGGAAATCTAGATGGAAATTGTGGCAGAACTTAAATTAACAGTGACACTATCGCGATTTATCGAAAAAGACTCTAAAATAGTTGGTTGTGTAGCGTGCGGTAGATCTCGGCAAAAATCGAGTGAAATAATCGAAAAACAACTTTTCGCTAGTAAGTGACTATATAATATACATACGTTTAGTAAACCGATCATTTATGAAATTCACCTAAATTAACTAATTATATATTTTTTCTTGCATTTTTGCTTTTATTTACTACTTGTCAAAGATTAGATGTCAAAGAATTTAGATACGTCAATTTGACTTACCTGCTTCAGTAGCGTATCGGATGTTTATGGTTATAAATAATTATTATAACTTATCTATTTTTATTAGAATTTTATATTTTTATAACAATTTTAATAACTACCAATATTTTTTCACAACATAAAATAATAAAAAAAATTATTGAGTCTACCCCACGTCTACCGTACATCATAGTTATACATTTTTTAAATAAAATTAGAACGGCACTGATAAACCGGAATTTAAGTCGGCCATATTTGAGGCCCATCGCGGTGCACCTAAGATTTTTGATATGCTCCTTCCTTAGTCTTCTTATTCAAAGGGCGCCATATTGCTATTCACGTCTTTCTTGACTTGGTCCATGAGTTGTAATCTAACAATAACAAATTTAATAACAAAATAGTAAATAATGACCATTTTATTGTAGCCTCACCCGCAGTATGTAAAAAATATGTCCTCTAATAATATGTTCATGGATCTTATAAGCAGGAATTCCACGGGACAAACGAATGTGATTTGTTTTGCTTTTCTTTATCTTTCACGATTCCTCGGGAACTTATTCTTTGTACAGTCAGTTGTTTGTATACTTACCATAAATAGAGTATAAAATAATTATCATAACTACCATAAATAGAGTTTCAGAACTATCATATAATTATCATAAATAAAGTATAATATAATCATATAAAAATTTCAATATTTACTAGAATCGACACTTGATAAAAAAGGGACTAGATTTAAGTTGCCCTTTGATCGAGTCTGTATACTATTTCTTTGGGGTTTCTGCACGTGTGTGCAAAACTACACTAAAAATACTACATCTTATAAAATATTTTGCGTTGAATTTAATCAATTTTATCTGAAAAATTATTAATTGGAAGAAAGGCGGGAACAAGCGGCAAAAAGTAATAATATTTTAGTGCAGTCTTATGACCGATATATTCGTGAAAAAAAGATCTCAGATATGTTTTAATATGTATTTTTTAAAACCTTAGTTAAATTTTATTATTCAATATTTTAAAATAGTAATGGTAATAAAATCATATAGGCATTGGGTAAACACACTTGGACAACAATCATAACTTATTTAAATATACAGTAGAATAGAAAATGTCCATGTATACCTATGTGGCGGATTCATCTCTCCAAAAAAATCCTTTATGGGTATTTCGCCACTGCACTGCAAGAAAATCTACAAAATAAAATAGTTATTTTTTGTAAACACTTCTGGCGTTAAACCTAAACGGACGCTGCTTGTCAGAAGTTATGTTTACAGTAATACAAATTTGCCTAACAAAGAAAAAAATGCTTAACGTTTAGGAAAGTTATCTCTTTCCGTCGTCGGAAGCAAAAAAATACAAATAAAGTATAAAGTATAAAGAAAAAAACTATTTAAAATATTTAAATTCAACTATTCGAGAACACTTTACTTTTTTAAAACAGATACGTCTACAAGAAACCGTTGACGTTCTGTTAAAATGAATATAAAAAGTAATATAATTTTTCTTACTATCGCTATGCGACTTATTTCGTATATAATTTTAACAGAACGTTTTTTCGTTCAATTTTATTTATAGCTCTTTGAACTTTCTTCTTATACTTCCGAATGCATTTTGTACTCTTTATTGTAAATATTGAGATGAATTGATTTCACTTTTACAAATGACGTCAAGTAATGTATCTCCTTGGCGATAGGTCCAGGAACCTCGCTGAACACTATGCTGCTCTACCATTTCCAGTCCATCTTCCGGGAAAATAATTTGATTGTTTATATTATATTATATTAATACATATTAATTATTTTATTGCATTTGATTTTCCGTATTCAATGTTTTACCCCACGTCATTGTTAAGTTTGAATGCTAATCAATATTGTAACGATGAATAGAATAAATATTTAAAAAAACAAACAGAGCCGGACTTGAAATTAATTTAAATAAATTGTGTTCAAATATCAAAACAAAAAAAATATTAAGTGTGGCATATCATTGTACTCAGGAGACCGAGTTCTTTCAAAATCTGAAATAAAAAATGCAGATACGTATTGAAAAAAATTAAGTTGGCATCTGTATCTCGCAAATTATCAGCTAATTTGATAATCTAAAAATACTATCAGATAGCCCTAATAAAGTGGCTACGAGAATGTGCAATTAGTTTCTTGATTTTCTAAAAAGTAACGACAGGAAAAATAAAAATTGATTTCCAAACAAATCATTTTTTGCCAAAAAACTCAGTAATCCTTGAAATTTTTAAAACTTTCTTGATGGCATCTTGGTGAACATCCCAAAGCGGCAACTTTGCCTCAATTTAACCATATTCGTATCTATCACGGTTACCGAGATACCAATGCTCGTACCTCGAATTTGTAGCACCCTGTATAAAAGTAAAAAAATATTTTTCATGTTTTTGAATTTTGTCCATTGGATGCAACACTGTGCATCGGTACGACACGTCGAGGACGTCATCCTGTAGTCCAGTTCCATCCAGTCATCCGTTCCAGTCCGTTCACAATTATGACAAAATCGACCCATATTTTTCTTCAATACCAAATCCTTAGTCCCACCCTAATGAAGATGTAGAAAACGTCTTATCCAACTTTGCAACTGTACATCCTGTAGATCTTGCCTACAAAAAAAAAAGATAGCAGTCATAAGTTGGAAAGGATTTAATTTTCATAACTCTTTTAAAAACAGTTCTTCAGTAAATTAAGTTACCATTAAAAATAATTTTTATTAATTTCAGTTATTACTTGTATTCAAAGAATATATTAAATTTGTCTTCAGATTCTTCTGCACAATCCAGCCGAAACGCCTAGAGTCGGGATGCAATACTTTAGAGCTCCTCTAAACGAAGAAGTTGTGGTAGCTGTTAAACCGGACATGATGACCACATCCGAAGGTCTGAAGACGTACGAAGCTCATAGAAGGCAGTGTTATTTTCCAGAAGAGAGGCCCCTGTCCTTCTTTCAAAGTTATACTCAACAGAATTGCCAAGTTGAATGTCTCACAAATTTTACTTTGGCAAAATGTAATTGTGTGGCTTATCATATGCCACGTAAGTATAATTAAGTTTGATTCTTAAGCCACCCACAGACGCTCAGTGTTAAGACTCAGGCAGCCTGTGCAAACCTGGTGTGTGCAGATATATCGGTATGTATAAGGCCGACTGTGCAGGCCCTTTGTGTGACTATTTATATTTTCAGTAAGTAGATTAGATATTTGCAGGTTATGAACATTTCATACAGTAGAGAAACGAAAGCAGATTCGGAAACAAATGAGGAAGCAGTTGTTAAAAACGTAGAAATTATTTTTGAGGAAAAACTAGAAAATGTCTTAAAAAGCAATAATTTGCGTAAATCTTCACAGTTAAAACTACGCAAACTGGCCTGCACGGTCTGCCTGTATTAAAGAACTGAGCGTCTATGGAGACTAATACTTTAGTGCCTATAAAATCAATAATATTTAATGACTTAGTAAGATAGCCATTTTTAAGGTGGCACGTTTTATGTTTTCTATAATAAGACAGAAACTAAACGTAAATGTGAATTTAGAAAACTCTAACATTCATAATGACGAGGTGGCTTTGGTGATTGTTGTAGTCTACGATTGAATATGGTTCTTAGTGTTGAATATTGTGAAAAAACTATTGATATTGTTGAAGATGGCCGAAATGATGGATATTCTCTTGGTCTTTGAAGAAGAATGGGAAAATATAACACAATATATTTGCAGCCTCATTGGCAGTATGAAGCGACGTCTACTGTTAGTTATAGCAGCCGGTGGAGGCAATACAAAGTTTGAGTGCATTTTTTACAAGTTTTTTGTTTGTTTGTACACTTAGTTATTACAGTTGTGTTTTTAATATCCTTAGTTCTGTTAGTGTTACTAATATTTATTAAAACCAAGCCTGTATCGTTACTTTTTAACGATCTGTAAATTTTAATATAGAGTTCTAATCAGTGTCGATATGACGTTACGACAATAGTTACCAAAGTCACCTCGTGATATGAAAAAATAACATCATAAAATAATGACAGTTGAAAAAATTATAAATTGTTGGTGGCAAGTTCATTTCGCTCTTAAAAATTAACATTGTTTGAAATTATTAACATTGTTGACATGAGTCAAAAAACAAAATGCTCAGAAGATTTGTTTCTGATCGAAAAATAATGTTTTAGTAAAAGTTACGCACGGAATAATTGCATAGGGTGTTTTAAAATTAAGGTAAAAAACAACCCTTCAATAAACCCCGTATATACAAAAAGTTTATACAAAACTGAGTTTATGAATTAAAGTTGATATATTTATATACAGTTTAAAACACTAATTTACCACAATACAGCTTAAGTAAAAACCAGCTCGGACAGTGTAGCGTGCCGCTTTGATCTTTTTACGCTCGGATTTGCGATTCGAAAGAAGGGGAACACTAGAGCGGCGAGCTCTCTCGCCAAAACCAATAGCCGCGTAAGCGCCAGTCAGCCCAGAGATGTATTCAAAAAAATTTTACACGTGACGTAAAAAATTATTCGACTGGTGCTAGAACATAATTTAGATACACGTTTTTTAAATTGTTGACTTTAAATAAATATGCATTCTCAAAGAAAAACATTTAAAACAAATTAATTAATTTATTTCTAGAAATAACAGCAAAATGAAATGGGTCCATTGATTACTTATAGTTATTTACGAATGTTTCTAAATTAGGAGCTTTCGGTTTTTGTTTGCTACATTTAAGTTCTTACTAATATTCTTTAAGGTATAATAAATTCTAACTTTTGCGTATAATTTTAACAAAAAATACATTATAGGAAAATTTGATTGATGGTTGAATTTAATTGTCTGAAATAATTTAACGAATTTACATAATATATTTTCATTTAAGGAAAGTTCTTCAAAATTGTTCTGAAAAATTTTATAAAAAAACTTTTTTAAAAACAAGTTTTTATTTAAATACACTAAAAAGAATAAAATAAACTTTTTCTTTAAAACTTTTATTATGAACTTATAACGTCATTACACAATTTTAATATTATATAAAAGCTTGTCGCGAGATTTGAGTGTACAGTTGCACTCATAAAAATCTGGTACGACAACTTTATCTTGTAATTCCTGGTCTAGGGTATCCTAATAATATGTATATCGATTTTCATTAAAAAAGGAGAACTTAAAAAAAACGACAGCTGTCAAATTTGACAGTTCAAATGTGAGACAAATAAAATGAAAACCGACTATGGGGTAGGGGGCATCCAATATATCGATTTTTATCAAAATCGGACAAATTTGAAATTATTTGACAGCTGTCAAATTTGACAGCTCAAATTTTTTTTCTTTCATTTTAGCCCATGGCCATCCTATATATCAATTTTTATGAAAATCGGTTGACTTTGAAATTTTGACATGTCATTAAACTGTCATTTTTTCAAGATGGCCGCCCATATATTTTTTTTCATATGTATATACCCACAATATACCTATACAGGTTGTTAAATTGTTCATTACTCGCGGCAAGAGTTTTATGGTTGAAATAACCTCGGCCCGCTCGTCGATAGACGACGCGACGGGACGAGTCGGCAGAAAAATCAATAATGCATACGTTCTCAATAGGCAGTGTTGCCTTCTGTTTCCCTATAAGTAACTGTCGAGTTAACAACCTGTATATATATATATATATATATATATATATATATATATATATATATATATATATATATATATATATATATATATATATATATATATATATATATATATATACATATATATAATTTCAGCCCGATCCATTCATAAATAGAATTTTAAAAAATCAAAAACCTCAAAAATGCCGCCATTTTGACAGCTGTCAAAAATTCGGGTCATGCCTTGCAAAAAAATGTATTGTCATCGGGACTGAACCTACATGCCAAATTTCAATCTCCTACAATAAAAGGAAGTGGTTTTAATTTAGCTTTGCCCCGAACAAACATACATACATACATAGATAGTTACATACAAAGCAAGTTAAATAAAAGCTTATAAAAATAGCCTCCAATGAGGAAACTAAATAAAAAAATGGTCACTTGGCATTAGCAAGCCTCCAAATAAGTAGTCTTCATCGTTTTGAAAAGCTCTAAAGTGTGAATATACTTTTGAATTGAATTGAAAATTAAACAGACTATATTTTGAATTATTTCCATAATTATTTGTGCAACCAGCAGCCGCACATCCCGGAAAACCTTTTCCCATTCCATCAATAAAAATAAAATTGAAATAAAAGCACAAATACCTATGGTTAAATATAAAAAAAAAATCGAATTAAAATCTTCCGTAATACGGCCCTACGCGCCACCGGTGGAGGCTATGCATCGACTGAATGAGGCTGACTGTCGGTCGCTTAATTCAGTTAGCGCACCGTCGAAGTGGGGCGTTTTAAATTCGAGCGTGGGAAAAATTGGCGAGTGTCAAAGCTATGTTATTCTGTAAGCTGTGACAATACACCAAAACACTTTTACTTTTGCACTGGACGCTAGTTTTGTTAACCATGTTAACATCATCAGCAGATGATTAAAACTTTTTTTAATCGTCTTTTTAAAAGTTTTAATCATCTGCTGATGATGCTAACATGATTAGCTAAACGCGCGGTCAGTGCAAAAGTAAAGGTGTTTTCGTGTATTGTGATGAATTAGTGTTTAATTTTGCTGTTTAACATCAAAAGGTCCAACCCCCAACTGTAATCTATATACAGTTTGCTAAAAAAAATCATGAAAGTGGAAAAAAGTTTAACTTGACGAAAAAATTTCCCTTGAATGTAGATAAATTTACAAATAAAAGAGATCTTGATTTCCAAGCCAACTCGCCGTTTTATTTCAATCGTATGATATACCTTTCTCAATTAAATTGGTAGTAGCAAATGAATTAGGTAAAAGTATTATTTTATATGTTTTAGCAAGAAATACAAAATTTAAAAAAACAAAATAATAACTAATAATACAAATATTGTTTTAGGTGAAGAAAATACTGCTATATGTGGATCGGGAAGCCTCGTATGCATGTTTGAAGCCCAAAGTAAGTTAATTTAAAAAAAAATACTAATATACATGCATTTTCTCCGATTTTTAAAATTTAGCCAGCAGCGCTCGGTACGGCAGAAATCAGAACTGTCCCGCTACTTTATTTCACGTCGTCTTGGTTACTGTTCTTAGGGTGAACCAATAAAACTAACCTATGGAATTTATGGGTTAAAAGTTAAAATTAACCTAATAACCGCGAAAAAAATATCCCCGTAAGGCAGAATTTTTAGCTCAATTTTAAAAGGTGTCAGTAAACATTCAAAATTTTCCATTTAGATAACATGTAAAAAAATCTTTTTCCGTTAAAAGTACCATAACTTTGAGACGGTTTAGGATAAAAAAATTTATATCGCGGATTCTTGTGACTATAAAATTTACTAAAAAAATTATCTGAGAGTAATCTAGTTTTTTAGCCGACCATACCAATAGGTATGGTAGGCTATTAGGATCAGCAAAAAAAAGTTTTTTTAATATCACTCAAAATGAGTTACTTGGGTCATAAATGACCTAAATACAAAATATTTTCATGGTGTCTGTCTGTCTGTCTGTCTGTCCGTCTGTCCGTCTGTAACACGATAACTCAAAAACCGCTGAACCAAATTTGGAACAAAAATACTGTGGCACCTGAGAATCTGGCCATTCGTTTTTGGTGTGGGTGGGGGGTTGGTAAGGGGGTATGGGAGGGGGTTAAAAATTTTAAAAAATCGTAACTCCAAAATTACAGTAGCTAGCGAAACGCGGTTTTCAAATTAAGATTAGGAATAATATTTGCAACAAAATCCATACATATATAAAAACTCAAAGTTTTTTTTTGTTACATACATCCCGCCGAAACTGCTTTATCAATCTTGATGATTCTTTTTTTAAATGAAAGGTATATATGTCTAGATTTGTTATGAAGTATTTTTAAATTGTTGAATGGCTATTTCTTTGTGTAAATCGACTAAATATTAAAACATACCTGAAAAACACCTACACGCAATACCTCCAGAAATAAATTTTCTGTCAAGTAAATAACTGTCATTGTCAGTGGTTTGTCAGTTAGATTATCATAGATAAATGCAGATAGATAAATGCAATAAGTTTAGATTGGAAAGCCCGTAAAAGTTTTAGGTCGCGAAATTATTTTGGGTCGCGACCGTTATACGCGATCTGGCGCTGCTATAGCGGTTGCTAGGGACTTTAGGTTGCTAAGAACAACGGCAAACAAAAACAGAAGTAATTTTCTCTTGTCAAAGTCAGAATCTTCAAAAATCATAATAATCTTTCAAAATCCAAACCGCTCTCATTAAAGAAATTCCGAAAAGTGTTTATAGCGTCCATTTTTAAAGTAATAATTGCTATCTTGTGAGTTTAATTCAAGTTTTATTTACTCCAACCGGCGATAGTTGTGCAAAAGTGGCATTAAAAACTTAAAAAGTTGTGCTGTGAACTGTGAACTGCAAAAACCATCCTGGATCGTGGCATAACGTCGGTTTCCAATGTTTCATAGGTATTTCATACATGCGTCCTTATATAAAATAAAGTTTCTTGTATGCAACACACTGTCTTTTATTTATAAAATTAAACGAAAATATTAATAAATTTGAATAAACAATATTTGGCGATATAATTCCGGAAAAAGCCGAACCGCTCCGAAATTTTCAAAAGTTTTGGGTCGCGACCGTTGCAAGGATAGCGCCAAATAGTGTTTACATTGTCCTTATGGGCACTTTCCAATCTAAACTAGTTTCATTTATCTATGTAGATTATATATCAAGTTTTTAAATATTTTAGGGATCAGTTCATACAGCCAGCTTTAGATACATAAATATTAGAACAAAGGTTCGTTTAAACGACATTAGGGAATTAGCTACACAAAGCGATTTTAGGAAATTCGTCCTCTTAGAGATTAAAATTATGTCGGAACAATTTGTTGTATGAAAATTCCTTACTATGTGGTCTAGAAGAATGAAATCCTACAAAAAGAATTAGAAGAGATTTTTGAAATTCGTCAACCAAATGGGTAAAGTTAGTAAAAATTTATATAAAACTTGGTGACCTCTGGATTATACACATAAAAATTGGCACAAAGGATCATTTAAAACACATGAGTTAATTATTTGGATAAAGCGATTTTATGAAATTTGTAGTCTTAGGGAGTAGAATAGGGAATGAAAGTTTGCTGTACGAAAATGCATTACTATAACACTTATAACATTTAGCAGTATAAAATTTTATACAAGGGTTTATTTAGTGACACATCAATAATATAAACGAAATATTTCTTCTTCAATTATCCTTCAAGGAATAAAAAATAACTATAAATAGAGTATTAGTGCTCTTAATAAACCAAAAAAAGAGATGAAAAATAAAAAAAAAATCAAGGGAGTATATTAAGTAAAGCGACAATTGAAAATTTCAAATATTCATTTGAAAACTTCATATTTTAAAACTATTTATTTTAGTAATACAGTTTATATGGGACCATAGGTAGGGGTCCTATCTATAGAGGGTAAATAATCATTTCACTATTTATTATTTTGGAGAGATTTTATTTTTTCAGATTTTGCAAAATTTCTTTGAAATTGACTTTGGTTCGATTTCGAAAATAATCTATATATAAATAATAAATAAAAAACCGCCCTGTAAGATCGCCATCCACCCTCTATCCAACCATACATAATTAGTTTCAGCTTTGGTTTCAGTCAATGGAAGGAGTTAGAAAAAATTAAAAAAAAAGTGTTAAAAAAGCAAGATTTCAAAAACATTTTGTGGCCAAAATTGAACTTCTTTGAAATACTTTGATTTCGATAACTTCTAGAATTATTAAGATTTTTTATTTCAGACGGCTCTAATCAAAAGTTTTATTTTTGGTATACAAAATGTGCCATAAAGTCATATACAGGCGATGAAAAAATAAAAAACGGTTTTTAAATTTTCGAATTTTCTTAAGTAGTACATAATAATATTTAAAGAGAATAAAAATGCTCTTGAAATTGGAATATTGACGGCTTTATATAAATTTTAAGTAAAAAATATGTAATAAGTCAAAAATAACAATATCGATTTTTTGTCGAGCGAGTCTTAAATAAGTGCAATTATTCTTAGCGGTAGTAGGTATATTTGACCCCAGAAACACGATTATGAGTTTTTTCGCGAAATTTTTTTTGAAAATTTGGAATTTTTTGAAAAACCTTTTGGATTTTTTTTAGTTTTTAGTTAAAAACCATAATTTCTTGATAATATGGCAACATAGATAGGTAGCAGATTAAATTTACAAGACAGAAAAACCCGAAAACCTGCGGTGGTTCTCAAAATTTCAACAAAAAATATTTTTTTTTGGAAATTTTTAAAGTAAAATAACTTTATTTTGTTATTTTTGTTTTTGGTAAAGAGAAAATATGTTTTTTTTTTATCGATATCTATAAGCCCTGAAAATATTTGCACTTATTCAAGACTTGCCCTGTATAACACCCAGAAAATCGACAATTGATAATTCATATGAAATACGAGTAGCTCTAAAACTCTTAAAAACATAGTTTAAATAGGGCATTTGTAAGGCTCACTAGCTCTATATAGAAAGTACATCATTTAAATCAATGCATGAACTATTCGAGGTGTAACGCGAACGTAGTCGCGGGAAAAACCTAGTTTATAACATCAAAATCAGTCAAAGTCGCAGTTTTCGAGATATTAACATATTTTAGTATAGGCGGCTATACGTGCCTCCCGGCGCCATTTTTTTTTGCTAAATATGAAAATTTTTAATCAATAAACACTATAACTGCATATTATATTTTTCACTTTTCAAAGCTTTCAAATATACGAATGATTCAATTGAGAAAAATTACTCTCAGATAGATTTTTTAGGAAATTTTATGCTTGAATCGGCGATGTAAATTTTTCTATCGTAAACCGTTTCAAAGTTATGGTACTTTTAGTGGAAAAATATTTTTTAATTACGGCCTACAGCCTCGAGGTCTAAACATTTCCCAGCGTAACTTAATATGTAAGATGGTAGTATCATAAATAACTATTGTTTCTTCTACAGATGAACTTCTACGCCGAGAAGTTCAATCAGGACTGAACACCGAAAAAGACAACGGGAACATCACTTCAGATTGTGACTGTTTACCAGGCTGCATATCTCTAGTTTACAATGCCGAGACCTCTCAAGCCCATTTCGACTGGCATAAGATGTTCCAGTCCTACAAAGCGAACGCAAGTGAAAAAGGCTACGAAGGCGCTCAGATAACCAGAATTAATATTTTCTTCAAAGAGCAACAGTTCATTACCTCGGAAAGGAACGAGTTGTATGGTACTACCGATTTTCTTGCCAACTGTGGCGGTATTTTGGGTCTTTTTACTGGGTTCTCTTTCTTATCGATTGTTGAAATTGTTTATTTCTTGTCGCTGAGGTTGATTTGTAATGTTAAGAAGCACGGATCGCATTACTGGTCTGGATCGCCCGATTTAGTTAATAACGATATGTACATCCATAAGAAATAATTTAATTGACTTGTTATATCTACAGTGTGTCCCCGGATTGTCTTTACAAGAGGAAAAGCTTTTTTATTAATTGCATTTTGAAAAAAATATCTTACTAACTGAATTAATCTAACTCAATTTTCTTCGTAAAATGTTTTGTTTCTTCTTCTTACAGTGCGATACTCTATATAGAGCGTCGGCTACCTCTCGCATGTACTTGTGATGTGTGTCATTAGTGTTTCCCAAATACATGGGACTTACAGTTTACCGCCGAATCCGAACGGCACTATTTGAGAGGCTGTATGAGGCAAATATACTCAAGGTGGTTTGCCATTGCCTTCCTTGAGGTGGCGTGGCGACTCTCTGGTCGCTCTATTTAGATAAATCAATATTTTTATTTAAATAAATAAAGCGACCGTACTGGCTGAGGATCGAACCCAGTATCCAGAGGATCAAACCCATGTTTTGTTCCTTTGTTCTAAAATTAGGCCAGTAAGCGAGTATAATAATATTACCTCCGAATTCTTGACACCCGCACCTATTGACGTGAAATTTTAACAGTGAATAAAGATATATGTAAGAAACAAAAGTTAAATAGTAGCGATGTGTGCTTTCACTCTGAGAGTGAGTGCCACCCCTTCTCGGGGGTGAAAATTAAATCAAGTATTTTCATTGCAAAAATTAACAAAGGGATGAATTCTAAGTAAAAAATTTTCTAAAACATTTTTTCAGAAAATTAATATTTTCCGAGTTATTTAGGATTGAATATGTTGATTTTTCATCTAAAAGCTGCATATTTTTCTGCCATTTTTCATAAATAATTCGAAAATTTTGCGCTTTATCGCAAAATTCATATAAGCAAACATAAAGCTTTTGGAATAACGAATCGACTATTTTTGTTCATTACCGTAGGTGTGATAATAGCCGAATTATTACTCTGTAAAGGCGATTTTTTATTTTTTGAAAACTAAATTGAAACCTTTTACCGTAAAATATGGCGAAAGAACCCATTTTTCGAAGTAAATGAATAGGACCGTGTTTAAAGTGCTTGAAAAGACCTTTTAAATGTTTTTTTTAAGTCTTTTCAAGTTCGTACCTCAAGAACTCGCGGAGTTATAATAAAAATAAAATGGTCACCTCATTTTTTAGGAAAAAAATTAACAACAAAATCTATGACTAAAATTATAATAATAAAAACTATCAATTCGTAGGAAATTTCACGAACTACAAATTAACCTCTATAGTTGAACAGTTTTGAACTCTTTATTTTTACGAGATTTTTGGGTTTTAAGGGGTCAAAGATGGTTTGGTTTGGTGGTCCTTGCACGCAAGTCAAACTAAAAAAACGTAATATCTACGAAATAAAAAGAAGTACAGAAAAATTGAAAGAGAGCAAAAATATTGCAAAAATAAAGATCTTCAATTTTACTCTGTTGCATTTTTTACGTATCTTGCTTAGTTTTTTAGATATGGCAAAAAAATATTTTTTTAAAGAATAAAAAAAATCATTATTTTCAAGTTTTTTCCAAATTTAAGCATTCTAAACCGCTCGAACTTGCAGAGCTCATTGTTAGTACCTAAATACAGCCAACACTGTACATGTATTACGCTTAATTTTTATTTTTCTGATTTTAGTCATAGATTTTGTTGTTAATTTTATTCCGAAAACATGAGGTGACCATTTTATTTTTATCATAACTCCGCGAGTTTTGGAGCTACAAACTTTAAAAAAAAAACATTTAAAGTCTTTGCAAGCAATTTAAAAATGGTCATACTCATTTTCTTCGAAAAATGTGTTCCTGTAAAACAATGATTTTAAAATAATAAATTTTAATAATAATAAAAACAAAAATGTCGTAAAAATAAAGAGTTCAAGACTGTTCAACTATAGAGGTTAATTTGTAGTTCGTGAAATTCCATACAAATTGATAGTTTTTATTTTTATAATTATTTTAATACCACACAAATCTCGTAGACAGACAGCTGAACAATACCATGCGGCTGATTACAGGGACAATCAGATGCACACCATGGTTTTGGAGTCATTTATAAAAAATGGCAGAAAAATATGCAGTTTTTAGATGAAAAATGAACATTTTCAATCCTAAATAACTTGGAAAATATTTTCTGAAAAAATGTTATAGAACATGTTTTGCTTAGAATTCATCCCTTTATTGATTTTTACAATTAAAATGGGTGATTTATTTTTCAGTCCCGAGAAGAGGTAGCACCCACCCCAGAGTGAAAGCACAAATCGCTACTATGTAACTTTTGTTTCGTACATATGTATATATTTATTTACGGTTAAAGTTTCACGTCAATCGGTGCAGGTGTTCAGAATTCGTACCCTAAAACCCCCGCTTACTGACCTAAGTGGTAAACCCCGTTTATACTTTTCCAAATTTCCATACCGCTTTAGAAAAAATTAACATGAAAATACATATAGTTGATTTTTGTCCTAAAATCATAAGGGGCTAGTGATGGGAATACCGGTTCCACATGAGTCGCGTTACAATAGCGACCGTCCCAGAAAAATACCGCGACAAAATACCGCGATTTTGTGACCGAGGTTCCGACTTCCAAAGTGTTGCGATCCTCGCTAAAAATATATCTAACTTATCTATATTTGTAGATTAATGTAACTTTTATCCGCCACTCATTTTCCAAATATCGAGTTTATAATTGTGTATAACCAATCTATCTCATTTTTAGAAAAACGATGACATTCCTTGTTATTTTTTTTTCTTTGTCAATTTTCGATTAAATAAAATGAACGGCTCATATTTATGTGTATTGCAATATAATATATTTAATATTAAAATCAAAAACAAAGTCCAAACCACTGTCAAAAAAAATTGTTTATTCGTCTAACCTAACCTTAAAAATAGATATAAACAATAAAACTTATATAAATGTATAAAAGCAAATAAAATATTTTTATTTTATTTTATTTGCTTTTGCGTTTCATCTTTCAAACAACATTATTTTATACCATGCCCAGTACATACCAAAAATCGCTATTTCGAAAGTAACGTAGCGATGGGAGCACCAACGCCAATAGTAACCGACCAAATCGCGACAGGCAAAACCGAAACCCTAGAAGCGCTCCAGCGACTGCTGGAATGAAGTACGTAGCCGCCGAGGTCGAGCGTCGTTAACTAGTTACAGCAGTTACTTCTGTTTACGACAGGGAACTACAACTCAAGGAGCGCGACGGCTGGAGCGAACACGTCCCGATCGAGATCGCGCGGCGCTACGGACATACCAGTTCCAGATACTACTGTTGGCGACCGACGAAATCGCGACGGCTGGAGCTAAACACGTCGCTATACGGTTACTACGGTTCGAGCTAACTTCAAGAGCGATTATAAATAATTTATAATTTTGTCGTCATTATGATTGTCGTTCTTCAGTAACAGGTTCTTGATTCGTTGTGGAGCGCGACACGACGTTACAAAAAAATACCGCTCCAAAATCGCGTTACTCAAATACCGACACATAACTATAAGGCGCTATGGTAATATCGTTTTGATTTCATTCTTTGATAGATGGTTATTATTAATTATTTTGATTAACTTCATACACTTTTTGTTGTTGTTAAAGTATCACATTTTTCGATAACTATTATATCATTTTCCGTAGCATTGAACTAAATAAATTTTGTGCTACTTTAATATCTTAAAACACCAAAAAATGTGATGTTACTTAAAATTCTATCAATAAAAATCTATCAAATGAAAACAAAATTATATTACCATAGAAACGCATTTTGATTGTTAGGACTTGAAGACTGCATTTTTCTCAAAATATCATCATAAAAAAAGTTGGTCCTCTTGTAAAGACAATCCGCGGATATAGTGTATATTCTTCGGTATATAATGGATGGTTAAGAAATATTATTGGTAGATTTAAATTCCTCTTTTTGTTATATTATTATTAAATTTATAATTGTAAAAGTGAATACAAAATTATATTTTATTTATAGTAGATCAGAATGATTCTGGACCCTTTATTTGTATTAATTTATTAACTTTTATTGTAAAGGATTTTTTTCATTTATTATTGGATAAAAGCACTAGTATACGATTGGAAGGGATGTATGAATTACTTGCTGGTATCTTACGCGTTAGCTTTACGTTAAAAGGATTGGTTTTTAAAGTTGTTGTATTTTTTAGTTCTATTTACTGTAAGTATATGCAAAATTGTATAAAAATATCAATTCATTTAAAAATTGCAAAACTACTTCTTTCCAATTTCTATAGGATCAGGCACTTAATGCATTTCACTCCTGAACAGTGGCCTGCATATAATGTAGGCAAAAAGGCGTAGATGCTAACTCAGTAGATTTCTCCCTCAACTTATTGTAAAAATAAAAAATAAACTAATTATATATTGATTATTTAATTAATCAATATCTATTATTATTTTATTATATTGCCAATTTTTGCCTACCCTGCTTTGATTAGCACTTAAACGCTACTGCTACTGAAACATATTAATAAAAGTAGTAATTAGTAATGTATTATAAAAGACATATACTCAGGAAAATACGTATTATTTGTAAATGTAATATTAACACATTTTTAATTAATAAACAATTAGCAAAATTAGGTCTTATAATTATTATCTACTTATTGATGTGAATAATAAATATATCTATGCATCAAATCGCAATTTTATTGTACCTACTACAGATCACAGAGTTGAATAGATTTCTTCTTCTTATCACGCCCCCTCCTGCCGAAGACGAGCGTTCAAACCATCTCCTTAAATCTTTTAGCCATGAGTTCTGGCGTCTTCCTACTGATCTTTTCCCTTGCACTTTGCCCTCTATTATGAGGCGCAGTATATCGTATCTATCACCTCTCATCACATGACCCAGGTATTGCATTTTTCTTTCCTTGATGGTGTTCAGTATCTCTTTTTGTTTCTGCATGCGCTGGTATCTCTTTTTGTTTCTGCATACTTCATCGTTGGTGATCCTTTGTACCCATGAGATTCGTAGCATCTGTCTGTACACATACATTTTGAAGGCTTCTATTCTCTTTTCGGTCTGTGAATTTAGTGTCCAGCTCTCACATCCATAGAGTAACACAAAGAAGACGTAGCATCTGACCATTCGAGTTCTGAGTTTTGCACAGAGGTCTCGTCTTGGTATAAATGATTTCATACTCACGAAGATTTTTCTCGCTTGCTCAATTCTTGAAAATATTTATCTTTTCGTGTCGCACTGACTATAGATGTTAGCTCCTAAATACTTTATTGAGGTCACTTGTTCGATTGGTCCCTTGACACGCAGGTGTTCATTTATTGGGGTCTTAGGAAAGACCAATAGTTTGGTTTTGGAGACATTGAGATGCAGTCCAAACATCTCACTTTAGTGGACTACGGAATCTCTGATGCTTCGCAGTTCTTGTATATCGTTGGTTATTATAACCGCATCATCGGCATATCTGATATTGTTTATTGGGATTCCATTGAACTTGATTCCGCCCTGGATTGATTCGATCCAGTGCTTCTCTAAATATAGTCTCCGAGTACAGGTTAAACAGGAGCAGAGACAAGAAGCAACCCTGTCGACAGTGGCGTGTCGTATAGGGGGCCAGGGGGGGCGAAACGCCCCCTCCGCCCCTATGCGCTTTACACTATAGCCGATAGCCACCAACAGTGCTGGTGCAGAACGATCTTTCAGTAGGTTGGGAAGAATTAATAATTACCAGAGGTGCACCAGCACACAAGATAGAACCAATTATTTATCACTTCTAAGAATTGAAGCAGACACAGCCCAGGATCTAAGTATAGACGAAATAATTGATTCTTTTAAATCGGTTAAAACAAGACGCTTGCATCTTGGAAATAACTGTTTTGTATACTAACTTTTTTAATAAACAAATTTATAATTAAAAAAATAAAGTCTTTTTTAAAAAAAGTTTGTAATTTATTTGATCCTTTATTGATCATTGCGCCCCATAAGGTCTTCGTCCCCTCCGCCCTTTTATCCACAACACGCTACTGCCTGTCGAACACCCCGTCTGATTTGTATATCTTCCGATGTTGACTGTTTCATCCCAATTACCGCCTAAACTAGATTTAAGCATAGAAAATTACAACAAGA